TAGGGAGGGGGCAGGCAGAGCTGGCAGTCCCACTGCATGGGGAAGCAGCCTGCAGCCCCAGGAAGTCACTTGGAGGCTCCACTGGCCTTTGGCACCAAGGGCCTCTTCATTCTCATCATCCTCTTCAGCTCCTTGAAGGAGCAGGCCCTGTGCAGTTTGAAACTGGCCATGGCTGGGTCGCTGGAATCCAGGGTGGCAGAGGCTTGGAGTGTGCGGGCCCTGGGTGGGCCCAGCTGCCGCAGGCGCCAATCCCCATTCAGGCTGAGCACATCCACCTCACTGAGACTGGAGGCACTGCTGCCCTCAGCCCGCGGGGGCTGCAGCGCAAGCTGGCTGCCAGCAGGGAAGCAGGAGTCTGTGGAGAAGGCGAGCTGGCGGCTTGGTGGGGGGAAGGGCTCAGCTTTTGGCCTCTCCAGGGCCTGGCTGGAGATCTCCAGGACGGATACCCACTTGTGTCTGCCAGGGGGCTCCAGGCAGCGCTGAGAGCTGCAGCGGTACACAGGGCCTGGCATGCGGACATTCATCTCTGAGCTGCAGCGGCTCCCCCCCCCCGGCCCGGGGGCTGCGGAGCAGCTCCCGGGGGCTGAGCCAGCTGCGCTCTGCACCCTCACGTGCCTTCACCAGCTCCCGTGAGGCGTGCTTACCCTGGTACAGCCGCTCCTGCTCACAGCCAAGGCCCTTTCTGGAGGAGGCCTTGACCCTGACCACGTGGGTGAGACAGGATGAGGCCTCCGCCCAGCTGGCTCCCTCTGGCTGCTCCCGGCACAGCGAGAGCTGCTCCAGGAGTGACCCCACAGAGCGCTCACTGGACCCCACTGAGGAGGCAGTGGAGCCTCGGCCCCCTGGGCCATCCAGGGACTGGGAGCTTTCAGGCCCTTCTGGAGAGCGGAGATGGGAGCAGGTGGAAATGCGTCTGCGGATTTTCCAGCCAGGGAGTGGCCCGGGCCACAGCGGGGATCCACAGACTGATGACATGGACTGGCTCTTCTGGTGCCCTGCCAAGTAGCCAAGCTCCGCGCGGCCAGCTGCCAAGCGACACCTGTACCTCAGCACCAGCTTGGCGATGTAACGGTCCAGCTGGGCTTGGCGCTGCTCCTCCGAGAGGGCCGGCTCGCTCTGGGGAGAGCCCTCCTGCACAGTGCAGATGGCTGCCCGCTCACTGAGGTCCTCCTGGGATGGGCCCCGGGACAGGCCACTAGTGAAGAGCGGGCTCTGCAAGGCCACGGCATGCAGCGGGCTGGGGTAGTGGTAGATCTCGCTGGTGCTGCGGGACACCAGGTCACACTTGTACCGCAAGAGCTGCAAGTTCTGAGGGAAGGCTGGAGTCTCCCGTGGAGAGATCAGGCACCCTGGATCAGAGACAGAATCTGGCCTATTCTGGGACACACCAGGTACCAGAGCCAGTATTCCCTGCATGTTGCAGGGCTTGGCTACACCAAACTGGACCCAGTATCTGAGCTGGAGGTAGCTTGGCTGAGTGGTGACCAAATGGCTGGGTGCCCATGGGCACTGGCAAGGATCCTGGGGCAACTCCTCAACTTCAGAGGAGAGCTAAGAGAACAAGTTGAGGGTAACAAACCTGCCTCTGAGACCACGGGCTTGTCCCCACTAGGCGGGGTCTGCTGGTACAGATATCCAGGCACAGATACCTCAGTGGAGGTGCAGCTTAGACCATTTTCCCCAGCAAAATAAATAGGCCTTTTTTCTCAGAGAGCTTAACAGGTACAACTGGATCTACACTAGGGTTTTTGCCAGCATAGCTGTCAGTGAGAAAGATGAAGAAAAAAAAATCCCCCCCAACACAGCTGTGCCAGCAAAAGCCCAGGCATAGCTGCAGTTTTGTCACCCAAAAAGGCCTTTTGCCTGCTGAGTGACATGTGCTCAGGGGGCTGGAATAAGCTAGGCTGGCACCAGCCTAAGCTGCAGCCCCATTCCGAGTGCTTTGCTGGTGTAGTGCACGGGCACCACATACGGACATAGCTACACCAGCAACGTGCTCCCAGCACAGGCCTGGCCTCGGACTGGATGTAAATAGGGTTGCCAGATGGTTCCCTCCTCCTCCACCCCCCCAAAAAAATACAGGAGAAAAATTCTGTTGAGAAAAAAAAGGGGGGTGGAAGGGAGTTGTTAAAGCAAAAAAAAAAAAGTGCAGAGCCTTTAAGTGGCCCCGCACTCCCCACTCCCCCGCCAGACACAGCAGGGGAAAACTGTCCCCGCCAGGCTTCCGTCCAAGGGAAACAGGAAATACCGGACATTTCGCATGTTTGATATTTTCTGTTTTTCTTTTTTTAAACCGGACGGGGGACCTGAATACCGAACTGTCCGGGCGAGAACCGGACACCTGGCAACCCTAGACGTAAAGCATGTCAACAACATTAGCCTTTGGCCCAGAAAACCCAAGAAGATGGGTGATTCCGTGTCCCAGAGAAGAGTGGGACCAGAGGTGGGGTCAGTAAATCAAGCCCAGGCTTCTAAGGCCTTTTATACATGGGAAAGTTTCCTGCTGTGGCTGCCCAGCTGCAGTGAAAGCGTAGAACCCGTGGGGACACGGTTACACTGTTGGGTTGGTCTAGCTGCCATGCATACGAAGTGGAATAAACTCTCCTGCGGCACGCCACCTTCCTACTGCAGCCTCATTGGGTGAACTACGCTTGTTAGGGGTGGGGTTTTACTCTATTGAGGCCTTCTCAGTGCTGACCAGCCCTGAAGGCCTGCTTTGGCTCAGCCATGAGTGGCAAGTTCCTTGCAGGGGTGGCAAGTTGTATGGACCTATGGTGTCCATGTTCTAGCAAATTCAGGGCCCTGGAAGCCCAGCCTCACAAACGTTCAGGGCGGGGTCTCTCCCACAGCCCTGTCTGCTGCCCCTACATGCCTCACCTGCCACCCCCACGCGCCTCCCCTGAGCATCACCTGTGCCCTGGGCAGCAGGCAGCCACTGCTGGCCCTTGACAGCCACTGCTGGCTAAGAGCAAAGTGCTGGGGCAGGCTGACTGCTGCAGCTGTGCAGGGAGGAGGTGCAGTTGCATGGCAGCCCTCCACCCCAGCAGGTGACTCTGAGGTGGCTTATCTAGTTTGAACCTCCTGAGCAGCAGCCTGGGGCTTGGGTTAGTGTCATGCCAGGAGGAAAGGGGGAGGGAGAGCGTACCCCAGAGCTCACTGCTGGGGGAGAGAAGGCTGAGGGGAGTCCTCTGTGGCCTGAACTCCAAGGCAGCGTTCTGGCTACTCCCCAAAGTTCAAACTCCTCATCCCTGGCCCAGCTACAGCCCCCCAGCACCAACCCTCTGCCCCAGCCCTGAGCTCCTTCCTGCACTGTGAACCTCTCATCCCCAGACTTACTCCATAGCCTTTACCCACAGCCCTGAGCCCCTCTCACATCCCAGAGCCTGCCCCCAGCCTTCACTGCCTCACACCCCAACCCTCTGCCCCAGTCCCGAGCCTTCTTCTGCACCATGAACCCCTCATCCCTGGACCCATTCTTTACTTAGTTCTTCAGAAGTAGTTCTTCGGGATGTTTTGCTGTGGGTGCTACATTGTCTGATTTGTCTGCACTAGGTTATTTTACACCAATATAGCTGCAGTTGTGCAAGCCCCTTGTGCAGACGATTCATGCCCAGTTAAGCAGGACTTGTGCTGGCACAGTTTCTCTCAGTGTGAAATCCTAGTGCAGCCAAACCCTTAGGAAGGTGACAACTCCACTTCATCTAAAAAAATTAGTTTTATAAAAAGAAGCCCGAAAGACCCACAGAAAAACGTTTCCCCCATTGTTCTTTTAAATTCCATTGAGAATGCTGTTTACTTCCTCCTGAAGGACATCGCAAAAGGCAGTGCTACATTTTGTTTTAATTTTAAAAAGTATTTGCAATTGAAGGTTATTGACCCAGGAGTGTTTGGTTGTTTTTGTATGCAACGGAGTATGAATAAATTTGATATTCTTAGTTAGATGCACAATATCACTATTGTAAGGAAAATGTAATACTGTTAAACTGTTACGCGCTCACTGCATCCAGTCCGTTCTTACGTTATTTTAAAAAATGGATAACACCTTACAAGGGGGCATGCACAGAGTGGAAGAGGAGAGGGGCCAGACTTGGAGACATTCTAGACACCATCAAAAATCAGACAAGCCTGCTGCCACTGGCTACATGCCGGAGTCCCAGGGCTGGGTTGTCCAGCCTGACCCATCACAATGAACTTTCCTGGCCTTCAGATCTGTAACAACTTGGAACAAAGTTCCTGGAGTGTCTGTCAGGCAGCAGGGAGCAGGCAGGCCCCACTCCTGCCTGGCATCCAGAAATCCGAGAACATTTGGTAGGGGACAGGCCCAGAGGCGGATGAGAGTTTTGCGGGGCCCAGGGCTTGGGACCTATTGAAGCGTGGGGCCGGGGGCAGCACAATTTTGCGCATACACCACGGCCACGGCCGACAGGTAGTAGCGCATGCGCGGGGCCTATTGAAGGGCGGGGCCTGGGGCAGCCACCTCACTCGCCCTGCCCTCTATCCGCCGCTAGACAGGCCAGCCCCTCACCCATGGGGGCTTCAATAGTACCTAACAGGTTGTCCAGAGCCCCTGTGCCAATGGGGAAGTTAGAATGAATCAGCGTCCCCCAGCCAGATTCAGGGTTATGTCCCCATCTTGCTGCTCCCAGAAGCCCACTGGCTGGCAGCAGGACTCTGCACCCGGAGCTGCCCATTTCCCAAATACCTGTTGAGACGGGTCTCCTGGCAGCAGCATGGGGGCCACTGGGAGCATTGGGTGCTGTTACCCGCTGCAGCCGGAGGTCAAGAAGACGGACGGTGGCCTCATCGGTAGAGTGCGGTCGGACACAGCCACTGTCCCGTAGGCCTGGGAGGTGGGAGAGGGACCCGACGCTGCAGTACGAGCCCCCTGGGCACTCGCTGTGCATGGACATGGAGGAGTCAGACAAGGAGCCCATCTCGCTGGTCTCGTAGAATCCTGGGGCAAGAGGAGAGGTTCACTGTGGGGGCCTGGTTGCCCCTCTCTCACCTTGGCCCCTCAACCCCCACTGCGATGGTTCTCCCCTCCCCCAAGTCCTCCACTAGCATGTCCCAGGAATCTGGGTTGTAGAGGATGATCCCGACAGGATAGAGGGCCCAGTTTGGAGCCTCTGCTCACATCACACTTCCCACAGGAAGAGCAAGCCACGATGCCTTATTGGTCCTGGTGGCCAGGGCTTGCATCCCAACTGCACATACCTGAGCTGGGCCTGGAGTCGGCCTCTGAGGTCTCTGGCGCAGTGAAGCTGGGCTCTACCTGGGCCCTGGGCCTCTTGGGCAGCAGGAGCTGCTCGCTGAAGCCAATGGCTCTCAATCCCAGGCTCATGCCTGGTGTTCTGCTCTCCTTGGTCCCGGCCTGGAGCCCCACGTCGATGCTCTCGGAGGAGCAGTAGGCGACACATGGCTTCTCAGGGATGCCCAGCAGGTCCTCAGATTTGCTCCGGTCAAGCTTGACTGGGGGCAGCGGCTCCTTAGCCCCCAGGCTGCCCCATCCCTGCTGTGGCAGGACCATGAACAGGGTTAGTCAGCGATGCCCACAGCCACCAAACCAACCCGGGGCACTGGCATCTAATGACTGACGTGATGTAACCAACATGACACCAATATTTAAAAAGGGCTCTAGTTGCGATCCTGGCAATTACAGACCAGTAAGACTAACTTCAGTACTGGGCAAATTAGTTGAAACAATAGTAAAGAATAAAATTGTGAGGCATGTAGAAGAGCATAATTTGTTGGACAAAAGTCAACATGGTTTCTGTACAGGGAAATTCTGTCTTACTAATCTATTAGAGCTCTTTGAAGGGGTTAACAAACATGGGGACAAGGGGGATCCAGTAGATATAGTATACTTAGATTTTCAGAAAGCCTTTGACAAAGTCCCTCACCAAAGGCTCTTGTGTAAATTACATGGTCATGGGATAAGAGGGAAGGTCCTTTCTTGGACTGAGAACTGGTTAAAAGATAGGAAACAAAGGGTAGGAATAAATGGTAAATTTTCAGAATGGAGAGGGGTAACTAGTGGTGTCCCCCAAGGGTCAGTCCTGGGACCAATCCTTTTCAACTTATTCATAAATGATCTGGAGAAAGGGGCAAGCAGTGAGGTGGTAAAGTTTGCAGATGACACCAAACTGTTTAGGATAGTCAAGACAGAAGCAGACTGAGGGACTCCAAAAAGATCTCACCAAACTGAGTGATTGGGCAACAAAATGGCAAATGAAATTTAATGTGGATAAGTGTAAAGTAATGTACATCCGGAAAAATAACCCCGACTGTATGATGGGGGCTAATTTGGCTATGACAAATCAGGAAAGAGATCTTGGAGTTATCGTGGATAGTTCTCTGAAAACTTCCACACAGTGTGCAGTGGCGGTCAAAAAGGCAAATAGGATGCTAGGAATTATTAAGAAAGGGATAGAAAATAAGACACAGAATATCTTATTGCCTCTGTATAAAACTATGGTACGCCCACATCTTGAATACCGTGTACAGATGTGGTCTCCTCACCTCAAAAAAGATATTTTGGCCTTGGAAAGGGTTCAGAAAAGGGCAACTACAATGATTAGGGGTTTGGAACGGGTCCCATATGAAGAGAGGTTAAAGCAACTGGGACTTTTCAGTTTAGACAAGAGGAGACTGAGGGGGGATATGAAAGAGGTATATAAAATCATGAGTGGTGTGGAGAGGGCAGATAAAGAAAAGTTATTTATTAGTTCCCATAATAGAAGAACTAGAGGACACCAAATGAAATTAACGGGTAGCAGGTTTAAAATTAATAAAAGAAAGTTCTTCTTCACACAGCATGTAGTTAACCTGTGGAACTCCTTGCCAGAGGAGGCTGTGAAGGCTAGGACTATAACACAGTTTAAAGAGAAGCTAGATAATTTCATGGAGGTTAGGTTCATAAAAGGCTATTAGCCAGGGGATAGAAATGGTGTCCCTGGCCTCTGTTTGTCAGAGGCTGGAGAAGGATGGCAGGAGACAAATCGCTTAATCATTGTCTTCAGTCCACCCTCTCTGGGGCACCTGGTGCTGGCCATTGTCGGCAGACAGGATACTGGGCTAGATGGACCTTTGATCTGACCCAGTACGGCCATTCTTATGTTCAGACACAGCCCCAAGCCTGATCTAAGCAGAGCGCATCCCCAGCTATGACTGGGCCTCCTCCATGGCACTGGAGACCCCCCAACTCTGCCCCAGACTGCCTGCCCCAGCCAGGCCTGTTGGGCACTGAATAGACCCTGGAACCTGACCAAGATCAGGGCTCCCACCACATCAGTGGCTTTTCAACTCCTGTGCTGGGCACCACAAAAACCTCAGAACCCTCCCGAGATCAGCCCCACCCCTCTCATCACTGCAGAATACCGTCCCTGCTCCGGCAGGCAGGCCCCTTCTCTCCTTTGTGCTGGCACTGCACTCCAGCAAGCTCCGGTCCATAGGGGAAGTTGCACAGGTTGAATCAAGGCAATTCGGTACCAATTGCTGGTGCAGGCGCAGCCTCCCATTGATTCCAACCTGGCTCAGTGCGGTGTCACTGCCAGAGGTACTCCTCCGAGAGCAGGCTGAAGTGACAGAGACAGTCCCCTGCAACCACACCCATGCGCAGTGCTGGTTTAGCCCCATGGCAGCCGCCCAAGAAGGAAGGGATATGCCCACTGCTGAGTGAGCACTGCAAAGCTCCTGTTGGCACCTCCTGGGATCAGAGCACCCTGGCCATTAGCCTCCAAGAAAGGAGCAGCATCACCCCCTTACAGTGACAGGCTGACAGAACCTGCCCCAGGTGGCACAGGAGAGCAGAGACCCCAGGAGTCCTGTGCACCGCTATGTGCTTAGCCCTCTAAGTATGGTCTCCTCCACCTAGCTAGATGCCCCTCCCCCCAGCTTCAGACTATCTGTGGAAACAGCCTGGAGGCACAGGGAGGGCAAGCTGCTCCCAAACCTTCCCCAGGGGTGGAGGGGGGTGAGGGATAGTTTGGCTGTTCTAGCCCCCAGCAGCGGATGGAGGCAGTTCTTTAGCCCAACCCCCTCCCTCATTTTATTGCTCTCTCTCTGGGGACAGGACTTGGCAGTCAGGGGCCTCCTTCCCCGCCCCAGGAACGAGTTCAGGAGGCCAACGGATGATGCACCTTGACCCCAGGCTGGTGATCAGAAGCACTGATAAGATCACAAACTTCCCTGGCTCCCTGCACTTTACCTCAACCTCCCCTCCAGCCCCCTGCCTCCATGGGTGGGGGAGGGGGCCGGCCCTGCCCTTCTCACCCCCCAAGATATTTGCAGATCTGTATCCTGGCTGACGTGGAGCTGGGGGCTGCTTAGCTTCCTCCGCAAGAGGGGCTGGCTCAGGTTTTATTGGACTCTGTGGTTCAAAGTGGTTAAAAAAAAAAGTTAAGCAATAT